CAATTCAGAAAGGATCAGTTAACTTCCACTCAAAACAAGACAGGACTCACTTTGTCAAATTGATCATTTCATTCATTTTAATGACTCAATGATGAAATAAATACAGAGTAGATATATTTTATTTCAAGTATTGGATAACTAAAAGATATTTGTTAATGTACAGCTTATTGTGGATGATATCTAAATGTGGTTTTTAGTACATATTATTTTCATAGAGTGAACTCTAAAGACATATTGATATGGATCTAACCAGCGTCATTAATATGAGTTTCATTCAAGATGCAAAAAATACATTCTTGAAAAACATCACCTGATGTTTACTGAGATTGTATATTAAAAAAAAAAAAAAAAAGGTGAAAAACAAAGAAAAAAAATGCATCTTATTAACTTTAACGAGTTTTTAATGTGCTCAGGTCAGAAAATAACATTATCACTATTCTGTTTAAATGGTGAATTTAACCATCATGCCAACAATCGTTTCGTCAAAGTCCTGAAAATATCACATTTCAAGTCATAGACATCTCATTTTGGAAACGAAACAGTAGGAAACTAAAAAAATAAACAAACAAATTAGAGGCAAAAACAGCAGCTGAGATTCTGCTGCAGATTACAAAAATAGTTCCAGTTTCTCTCGTCTCTGTTGTCTCAATGACACACTGCAGCAAATATGAAAACACACGGAAAAAAAAAAAAAAAAAAAAACCTTGAAAGGAAGAGTCACTGCCTTGCAAAAAAAAAGCATGTTGAATTTGATCATTCATATTTGATATGCCTGGAGACCACATGTGCCTGTATGTGTATGTCTCACATGTAAAGGCTGGGTGGTGCGGGGGGGTTGACAGACAGAAGCCCTCCTGTTCCTGCTAAACAACAAAAATCAGTCTCTACCTGCTTCAGGGATGATGCACCTGATCCCCCTTAATAACATAATTATGATTGATTATTATTATTATTAGTATTGTTAATTCTTATTCTTATTCTTACTCGTAGTAGTTTTGTAGCCTTGTTGAAGAACCGTCTTGATTACCAGGCCGCCTGCCTCTGTTAAGTTTATACTATATATTTGTGGTTCTGCAAAGAAATGCAAATTGCTGATTACAGTGTGTGGAACAATCTGGATATTTCAGAATATGAGGGAAATATGTATCAAGTCCAAGGTTAAAACCAACGGAAACCAAATATTACTGAGTTTTGAATCAGAATCATTAATTAATTACAAATGGCAAGTACTAGATGGATCTGCAAAATATTAGCATACCACAAAACACACACAGAAGCAACAATATATGTACTTTGTACAACTGCACCCATTCACAAAAACCTGAGTATACAAATGCACACCACTATGGGATGCCAAGAGGGCCAAAATCTTTGTCACCAAATTGGATTTTTGCCATTCATATGAAAGAAAACCTGACCAAAACCATTAGCCAAAATCATTTAATCCAATCTTCATTAAGTTTTGCTGTTTGACGAAAAATTGAAAATTGCAGTACTGTTATGAAAAGAAGTGCTGCTATAAGAAATGATGTTAAAAAATGTGGTTTTCACCTAATATGTACAATGTGGAATTCATGGTTATGAGAAAACGTTGCTTTCTTCTTCTAATTATTCCTCTTACTTCATGTTGGACACATTGGAAATGATCACATCATCACATAAATGAGCCAGCAAAGAGGGAATTAGGACTTTTTCTTTGTGCAGGTAGTCTTTCATCATTAGATTAGTGGGTTTTAAATTCCAGCTCAGTATCTCTACGTATTCTGTTCATAATGAAAAAAAATTAGCAAAGCTTTGTTTCTACCCAATGCCAGCGTTCAGTGCCAATACAGGAAGTAGTGTGGTGGAAAGTAAGGGTGTCAAGGATCGGTTGCTGGATGGGGGGGTGTAACGTATCCAACTTTTGTGCAGGTGACTGGAGTTTGTCTCCTCTCACTGTGTCCTTGTTGAGTCACAATCCAGCAGCAACAATCATTTACATTTATTCATTTGGCAGACGCTTTTATCAAAAGCGACTTACAAGTGAGGGACGTCACTGAGCTTCAGTGCGGGAGCTTATCTGTACTCTTTATCCGTGGCCCTTGTAGTCACTCATTTATTCAATTTAAGGATTTACAAAATAATTTAAAAACTAATACTGGTTTACATTCTTCTCATTAACTCTAACAATCTATTTCTTATAAAATTGACATGCTAATATGAAATGTGACACCAAGAAAATAATATTGATCCAAATATCCAAAACAATAAACCAATCAGGATTATAATTTACTGCCTGAGTCTACAGGTGAGAGACAAATTGAAGGATTTGTGTCCACTACATATCTTTATTTACTATCATTGCTAATGGATCAAATGCACCTGCCTCCCAGCGCTTCAGATCAAAATCTAAGCCCTCATTAACACCCTGCAGCAGCAGCACATCTACAGAATACCTGGGTATGAATGAAGCCACCTGGCTAAAGTGGCGCTTCATGCTGCGGGACTATGAATCTACTTTAATCCTGATGTTTCTTTAAAACACACAAAAATATAGGGGAAGAAATTACAAAGTGAACCTTCCTCATATGTTTTTTTGCACACAATTCTATGGAAGCCAAGAAAGGCCATACTCGCAAATACCTTTATATCCCGTTACCTAAAGATAAGGAGATAATTATTCCGTTATCTTGAGATCACAAGATAATTATTTCATGATCTCGAGATAACGGGATAATTATTTCATCTTGAGATAACACCATTATCTCGAGCTGAAGAGATAGTAACCTCCTTATAATTATCTCCTTATCTCAAGATAATGGCATTATCTTGAGATAGTTATCTCGTTATCTCGAGATAACAGGATAATTATTCTAGATAAAGATAATGCCATTATGTCTGTTATTACATTTGCGAGTATGGCCTTTCTCAGCTTCTGTACAATTCACATAGCTTAATTCTAAACTATATTGCAGACTTGCTGTTGTTGCGTTCATTCCTGGTGCCTCAACTGTCTTACTGAGTGACGAGCAAACCGTGACTCCTCAGATTTGCTGTCGTGGTAACGCCACCGTATGTACAGCTGCATTTAACCAGGTCAGAAGACAGCTCTACCTTTATACGCTGTTTTCAACATCAACCTCTGTGCTTCTGTGGCTGTTAAAGATGTCTTGTGGACACACAGCCTGACTCGGACTACAGTCTTGTAACAGTAACAGGGCCATAGCAAACAGCTAAAGGTGTTAAACAGCCGTAGCTCTAAGAGTTTATACTTTAATTCATTCTTAGGCAGTGCTGTAGAAGCCAGATATTTTTCTTGGGAGCTGGTGGAGACCAAACCAGAGCTAAAAAGATTGTATTTTGGACTTACATTCATCCGGTGCATATAAACACAACTCAAATGATAATAATGTTGCTCTGTGTCTGCTGGATGTGTTAATAGGCAGCTTGTTTGCATGTTAGCTGTAACAACTTTGTCGGGTGATATGTCACTGTTGCTTTTTGAACTTGTTCTGAAGTCCCCCAAAATTCAGTGAATGCAGCTTCACAAATAAATGTACTGAAATTTGGGTAACAAAGTGACTACATTACTGTGCACCTGGCTAATCTATGGTTATCTTATTTAAATTTTACATTTATGTATGTACTTATATAAGAGCGTCCGCCAACTGCCTACATTTTGAATGTACTTGATTTAAAGTGTACCACTGGTGTGACAACCCCTGCCCCTCTGCCTGCCAGCGTGGTTTGTTGTGCTACTTCTGCAGATGCTGGGAGTCAGATGGTAGGTGGAGGTGGGAGGGTGGTCTGCTCTACCTGCCCAGGTGGGCGGGGCTTCCAGAAGACATAAGGGAAGGAACAGCCCTTCTCAGGCTTTCTCTCTCAGCCTGGCCTGCTGCATCCTCCTCAGCCTTCCTGTCTGTGTCCAACATGCATCACACTCATCCTCACTTATCCATACACCTCAGACAAGACTGATATCTCTCTTACTTTCACACCACACCATTTAGTTATCATTTTGGTAAATTTGAGTTGATGCATTTGAGTTGTGTGACCTCCCTTGTTGTTGCCAGGTGGAAACACTGATACTGTCCTGTTCACCTCAGCTGCTAAAGAATTATTTATAAAACAAAAAAGTGTAAGTGCAAGATTGTTCCTGGTGGGTCCAAATGTTGGGTCCAAGTGAAGATGACACACTGGTGCCACGTGTTAGCTGTCCTGCACTGACATCAAAGTGGAGAGGCCAGTATCACTGCTGTTTTCAGACTACAGAACAATACGACTAGTACCAGGATCAGACCACATTACATCAGCTCAATAAAGGCCCGACCCAACAGATATGCAGCGTTGGGAACGTCCTAACAATGTCCCAACACGAAGAAAAGAACTGATATTTTTACCTTCTTTGCCCATTGTGATAACTTGTACACTGTGCTCATGTCATTGACCCTCAGCAGGACGGAGCCCTCAATGCTTAACAACATGGTGAGGCAGAATGATGGTGGTTTCATTTGAATTGATCATAAGGATCTGCCTTTTTTTTTTTTTTTTTTTTTTTTTTTAATGCAGTGCTAATGTTGGTCTGAACACAGCCTTGGTTTTAAATGGTCAATCTGCTGATTTGCAGCTGTGGTGCCAAGAGTGATGAGTGATAAAAACACCATTAAGTAATACGAGCCTGTGATATTCTGCTGAAGAGCAACGCCGCCTGGAAGTTCAGCTGCAGCAGGCATTTCCACAAAAACAACAACAAAAAAAAAAAAAAAACAACTGCAATCCTGCTCGACTTTAGGTTCTAGAGCAGTAGAAAATAAATGCACCTTGTTTCATCTTGAGTGCAGGATTATGGGCTTTAGGCTGAACACAGTTTAAGGACCCATTGCACCAACTCAGGCGTAGAGCCAAGATTTTGCTTCTGACAAAATCACTTGAATCTCGTCGTTTTCTGTCTTGTCACTTTGACAACTCTGGCCCGTGGAAGCATCGGAGAGGAGTTCAAAGGAACTGCTGCAGTTTTAGCCCTAAGCGCAGTGGGACAGGGAGAGCTTCAGCAGTCCCTCCATATGCATCTTGTAGAGGAGTTTGAACTCTGCGGGCAGCTGATGGGATTCCTGCCATTTGGTGGTGAACTTGGTGCCCTTCTTGTCGTAGTAGTGGTACGGCAGCTCCTTACCCGTGTTGGGGTCCCAGCCGAAGGGCCAGAAGCCATACAGGTGGATCTGGTCGCACATGGACGACGCCAGCGTGTACATCAGGATGCCAGTGCTCAGGCGCTTTGGCGACAGCTGCTTGGTTTTCCAGTAGCTGTTGACAAGAGAAAAGAACAATTGAAATTACATTTTTTTCATAATAACATTAAGGTGCAATGTAAATAACATGAAAGTGGAGCCATTTAATGTTGCCTCTGCTGCTCAGTTTGCTCCTGCATTAATAATTCAGGGTTTTAATAACTTTGTTCATGGTTTATTTCAGGGTTTATTTTATGTTAAAAAGGCACACAATCAGAGTTTATTTTGAGAAATGGGAAAAAAAATTGGTTTTAAAGTTACTAATAAACTATAGTTTAACTCTAGCTTGTTGTTTTACCCATAATTCTCAAAATGCTGGCAGGACTTTTACTACCTCAGCTGCAGAAAAGCAGTTCTTCATTTAAAACAAGCTTACATGTATATTGAAGACAGACCTTAGTGTTTCCTGTTTGAACTCGTGATGATACTGTTTTCTGTTAATGCTAACTCAGCCGTTCCTCTGCTTTTACCCTTTATCTTGACAAATACAGGATCATATGAATTTCCAAAGCACTAATTCAAACAGATTCATGTTATATTCACCACCCTGTTGTTTCGGGTTTGTCTCCTCTAACAGAGATACTGTTGTCATTCACTAATTAATTCAAAGTGTTTCTATTTTCACATCACTTTGAAGCTACTATCAATTAATCTCAACACTTCCTGTCTCAATGATTCATAATAAAAGCCTCTCGATACCAATAGTGCTAGGTTTTTCTTTTCATTGCCAAATGCTTAACACCCATCATAAAACGGCGTAGTAGAAATAATCAGTATGACTTCATTAATAAGCATTAACGATGCTGATGAGGAAATTTACAGCACATTATACTGACTCCACCATATGAGCCATTAAAATACATGTCATTATAATAATTAGCACAAAGCTGAATTTCAGTAAATCAAAAAAAAAGGAGAAATAACTGTTTGCACTGGTGTCAGGTTTTGTCCATTTATTTCTACATGTCAATCATAATTCTGAGCCTCAGCTTTTACTGACAAAAGTGACTTCAGAGAGTTGAATGGAAAAAAGGAAATAATCTGATCACTGCTGATGCTTTCATCGGGCAGTCCTGCTCTGCAGCATCACAGAGGGGAGACTCTCCGAACTGGCCTCAACAAAAGCGTCTCCAAGAGTCCTCGAGGTGCTGAAAGCTGTCTGAGCTGCTTAAACGTGGTAATTCTTCCAGAGCAGGTAGATTTAATGGGATTGGTGAAGATTAGGCTACTGTACGAGGTGCCTATTCTGCTGCTACAACACTAAGCACCAGACTTAAATCCCTCTCCAAACACACTCTTACAGCTCTGCACCATACCTTTCACTAAATAGCTGTTTCCTTATAATCCGCTTTGGAGCCTAAATCTCCTCTTTGCCATATAGAGCACAGTTCGATACAATACAACCACACGTTAGCCAGGTTCCACTCACTACTACAAACTGGACACAGGGAGACCTTTAAATTACATACAGACAGGTAGATAGAGGCAGACAGATCCTGACACATTTTCAAAGAAACTAGAATAACCGCCTCGTGGTTGTAACCTTCCGCCATCCAGACAAGTTACAGGAAATATGGTCACAGTCTCTTCCTCCGGAGTTACAGCATTGAATAATGGCCAGAGGTGTTTTTGCAGAACATTATGAGAGAATAAGTTGACCTTTGACCTTTAGAATATAAAATGCCATTATTATATTTTATCCTTATGGACATTTGAGGTAAATTGTGTCATAGTTGGTGTATGAATTTGTGAGAAGTACTGAAATTCCCTCTGTCCGTTCCTGATATACTGCATTCACAAGAACGTGACATCATCTGGACCTTGACCATTAACTTTTAACCACCAAAATCTAGTCAGTTCATCTTTGAGTCCAAGTGAATGTTTGTGCCAAATTTGAAGAAGTTCTGTCAAAGCGTTACTGAGATATTGCGTCACCGAGAATGGGACGGACGGATGGATGGATAACCTGAAAACAATCTGACTGTTTCCAGCGCGAAGGAATAAAAACTGAGTAGCGTGTGTCCTGAGTAACATGTCATTTTTAGGGGACATGGTTGACCATCCTTGCCAGGTGGAAATGGTGTCACGACGCACAAGGTATCTCTGACAAGCAGAAACACTACTCAACATTACTCATATTTCTGTAAAACCAATGAATAGTATCCAAATTTAATTTTTAGAGAATAATGTTGGACTGAAGGACTGGACTCTGAACGTATTTTTTCCTATTGACAACAAAACCCATACACAACAAAGTATTGTTGTCACAAACTATTAAAACACATCATTGAGCCACACTGTAGCACAAGGTTCCTTTATTACAATTTACACAGTGGTTTACTTTAGCCAATCCTACATACACTGCCCTGGAAATACTCAGTAGAGCACCAAATGTGTATCAATTCGCTGCTTAAAAAAAAAAAAAGTTTGAGCAACATTTGCTAAAAACTACAGTGCCCAGCTATTTTAGGAAATTACTGAGTGTTAGAAATGTAAACGTACTGTGAGCTAGCCTGGAAACCAGACCAATCAGCATGCTCGTGAGAGAGTTCAGGCCAGTCACAAACATTTATGTAAAATGGGGCTGGTTTGATACGATGACTGACAGAGGAGCACCACTGAAGCATTTTCATTAAAAACCAAGATGGTCGTTGCTGATGTGAAGAGGTCTGTTGAATCCTTTACTGCAACAGTATTAAACAAACTGGATGGTATATTTTTTTTAAAGAAGGACAAGTAATTGCACGTTGCGTTTGTTGATCAGAAAGATGTGTTTGCCATACAACCAACAGGATTTGGGAAAAGTTTAATTGACCAACTGACCCTGCCGGTTGCCACTCAGCGCTTCGTTGGTCTGATTGGTTCTAGGTCTATCCACTTGCTTCCAGAGGAATTTTGGTCTGTGGCCCTTGAAAACCCCCCTTGGAAATCGAAAATGAACTGAGAGGTTCAAGTCACATTCACAAAAGCGAATAGGTCTGGTAATGAAAGGCTAAAGTATTGAGCAATGCATTGCCAGTTTTGGTCTTTTGACAGGATTTGTTGACAATAAGAAAAATATGGAATAAGACCAGCCTCATTTTTCACCATGCAGTAAATACATGCAGAGTGTGACTGGAACAGCCAGGTCACACTTCACCTTGGACGTAATATTGCATATTGAGATTTGATCACAATCAATCAGTCAATCAAGATAAAGAGAAAACTTATATTACCGGGTGTGATTCAAAGGCCTGTGACCAGATGTGGTACTGTGGTGTATCTTACTTGTTGATGTATTGCATGATGTTTCCAGGCCAGGCCAGCTGGACCTTCAGCTGACCTCGATGCTCCACGAAGAAGTCGACCAGTGTTCTCGTCACCGTGGCCGATGTGTGGAAGAAAAACGCCGGGATCCACAAGATGGCACCGTCCAGCTTCTTCAGGCTGAGAAAGAAGTTGTTCCTGTCCTGTACAGTCAGTAAATTGTTGTAGTATTTCTCCAGGATACTAGGGTTAAAGGTTGTCATGTTGGTCCGTCGCCCAACGTCCTTCTTAAAGATCTCGGTCGGTGCAAAGTTGCAGCGGAAGACGAAGTCGAACTTCTCGATCTGGGGTCCGCAGCGCGAGCCAGTGAGGATGCCGCTGTTGCCAACCACAGCGCAGACATTGTAATGTTTGTTAAGAATCGGCGACACCTCAGGCAGGAGCGAGCGGAAGTTCTCGCCGATGGAGAAGACGTACTTGTGGCTGGAGTAGTCGTAATGCATTAGCTGTCCGTTTCGGACTGAGCCTCGTGTCAGTGTGAAGTTGTGCGGGATGTCAATGTACTGAGAGATTTCGTTCCTATGAGACAGAGAGACATTTCTGTTCATCGCTGCATTCTTACAGTAAAACATGCCCTTTTCTCTACAGCTACCAGACACAGGAAATCTACACGGGCTGGACACAATAACACCAACAGCTAGACATGTTTGACTGTAAGCTTGTCTGAGTGGACAGAATAGCATGGATCTTTGCATTATGGTATTGTATTGCACTGTATACTATAATTGTTGTTATTATCTCCACCTCCTGCAGTTCTAAACTTGTAAGTCAATGAAAAATATGCAAATATGTTGGCATACTCGCCAACAGTACCATGACTTCCATATTTCTCAGTTTTGTTTTGTTTTGAATGAGTGTGTAGAAAGGTTAAAGGTGCAGATTCAAATAAATAAATAAATAAAACGATAAAACTTATTTTTTTCACTTACCCTTAGTGGTATCTATCCATGCAGATAGTTCTGGTTTTCATGTTTGGTTTGAGATATGCTTCTGAATCTTTTACCTCCACCCCAGATACATAACAAATGAAACCAAAACTATCTCCATAGTAGCTGCAAGGGAAAGTTGGAAGATATTTTTTGTTGTCAATTTTGTGAACTGACCCTTTATGATCTTCTGGTTCTATGGCGACAACTGCAAATAAACGAGCTGTGACTGTTGCATGTCAAGGAATTTAAGCTTATTTCACAGCTGCAGTCACTGCCCTGGATATTTTGCTGTGTTACTGCAGTACGTGTTGTTGCTGTCTCCTTTCTGGTTGCTGGTGTTTCTGTTGTTTACATGTTATTCAGATCTGCTAGTTTCTTTAGCAGTTACCAATGACTTCTCTCTCTCCCTCCCTCTCTCCTGCTCTCTGCTCAGTGTGTCTTATGTTTAGTTATTCCTCTGCCTGCTTTAGTAATAATGATACATGTAATCAAAGTAGTCAATTTGCTGTAATGGAGGTGAGTCTCAGTGTATTGGAAGCACTCCTCTGCTTCCCTTCAGTTGCTGAGCAGCTGGTAAGCCAGAGCGTCAGTAGACTGCCCATAACAAGGGGTGTAGCCCTGAGCCCCCTGTTGGCATTTTGACAAGACTTGACTTAGACTTGCATTCAAGGACTTTAGACTTAACCTGAGACATGCTTTGATAAAGCTTGATACTTGACTTGGACTTGTCTCATTTGATTTGCAACTTGACTTGGACTTGCCTTGATTGAGTTGAGTTGAGACTTACAGTAACTTGGACTGAACCTAAAACTAGTCTGAGTCTAAACAGCTGCCCTAAAAGTTCACGCAGCTGTTTTTTTGTGAAACAATCAGCTGAAAACATCACGTCAGTTATTTTTGTCAGACTCTATATAACACTTTCCTGCATATTGTAAAATAATTTAATCCCTGAGTTTTAATCCATTATAAATATAGTTACAAATTTTGAATCATGAACCCAAATAAATTCACATTGAATAAGCGGATTCAGTACTGGAATCAGATTCAATAACCAACAACAACACCAGCCAACTTGTTTCAACATAAAAAATTTTGTAAACAATAAATGTTCCATGTGAATTCTGCCTTATGTTTGTTACTGTGACACTGGTGAAGTGCTCTTTGCTCGAGAAATAGAAACCTGAAGTTTTTTTTTTTTTTTTTTTTTTACAACTAGTGCTCACTGCTGTAAGTGCTAAAAGCATGCAGAGCTCTCAGGATCATCGGAAAACACGACAGAAAGAGGGAGAAGTGAGTGTGTGTGTGTGTGTGTGTGTGTGTGTGCACAACCTACCTCTGCTGCATAAAAGCAGTGCTGTTGTACCTCCACTTAGAGGAGTTCTGCAGGTCCTCACTGAGAGCATTGGTCAGAGGGGTGAAAGCTGGATCCAAATATTTCATCGCCAGCTGGGAGCTACACAAAGCATGAGGAGAAGACACGGAGGTTAACCCAGGCTTCCCGCGTTAGGAGGTCAGCTTCATGCACTTGCACTTTAAAATGTTTTGAGAAGCATTTTAGCTCTTCTAAAACGAGGTCTGTTGGAAGCGTCCTCTTTTAGCAGCTTTGAAAACCACCATGGGTGATTTGAGGCAGGAGACAGGAGCAGTCAGATGATCAGACAGGTTACAAGACAAGAGTTTAGCCAGATTTATCACTTGATTTGGGAGTAAAAGTTCAAACTAAATTTCCAAAAAAAGAAGTCATAAATTGTGCATAAGAACACTTCACTCTTTACACAGTGAAAGAAGGTACTGAGATTATCCAATCAGTCAAACACAACTCTTTTCAGGAGGCCACAGAAACACATGGATTTAACTACTTGGTGTGGAAATACCACTTTCTCATACATACATTTAAACTTGGTGTGGAAATACCATGTGAAATGTCCATAAGTATCCCTCATTCCACAGTAAGTACAGTGAGTCACAGATGAGTTAGGAACTCGTTCTGTAATCTTGTTAGTTGGGTAATAATTTTACTGTTTGCTTTTGTTTTTCTTTCCAAATAATGGATTGTCTGAAACCTGTCTGATTGTCTGATCACACTTTGTTGGAGCAATGTTTAAGAAAAAAAGGCCAAAATGATGAAAACAACCTGAATTGCACCATCAAACAGCTTCAGCTGAGCTCTGATGTCGTTTTCTCTATCAGTGATACCTTCTTCAACAAAGCTAAAATGCCTGCAAAAGAAGTTGATTGAAATGTGCAAGTGTTTGAGGAGCCATTCAGCATACAAAGTGTTGTTCCTTTAGGAAACCAGCTGCAGCTAAAACAGATTCAGGCACTTTTATTTACACTATCAGCTCAGTGTAAATGCAGAATCACGGCCTTTTTCCTACTCGTGAGTCTAGTTTAAATCACTTCAGTGTACCGTGGGAAAATGAGCAATCAGGCCAAACTGTTGCAGCAATTCTGTCCATCTTAGCAAGTTATTCATAATTAAACTGGGTATGTGACGTAAAATATTTACGCTTCATCCAAATTCACTTTCATGTACTTATTTCATCTCCAATGACGCCTTGTTTACTGTATTTTCAGGACATCTACTAGTGTTTTTTTTAATACTGAACATGGGGCCAGGGTACTTGATAAGATGAACATTTTTTTGCAGTGCAAGATGCCTCAACTTTTCCATTTCCCTGTAACAAGTAAGTAAATTAAAGCCAAGACTAAACCATGAGGCTCACCTTGTACAGCCCATACTTTGTAAGCTTTTCTATGGAAATCTTGACATTTTGAATGTATTTGTGTTTTTCTTGTCCATGGTGCTGTCACCTGGACTTCCTTCTCAGGTCAGAGCTCAATCCACATTTCCTGTAAAACCAGTTTTACCCAGAGTCAAATGAGGAAATGACAATGTGCATCTAGTAGAGAAGAGAAATCCAGGACGTGATTAGCTAGTTTAGCTCAAAATGTGGAAGTAGAATAAAACTCTACTGTCACAGCTAGCTAGAATATTGAACACTAAGAAGATTGCCTATCTTCCAGGGAGTTTGTATTTTCATTATGAAGCTAACGAGTGACAAAATGTCTGGGTTTCATGCTGTCTGTCCAGGGGCTGGACTAACTACAACTCTACAGGGAAACATGTGAAACTAACTTGTTAGCTAGATACAACATGTCAAGCAGCACTGTCACTTTCTTGATAGAGATAGGATAGCAGTTTCTCACTTCAGGTCTTTGTGCAAGGAAGGCTAAATATGTCCTGGATTGGATGCACATAGATGAAACCGATCTCTCCTCATCTGACTCTGGGAAACGACTGTTCAGGAGGATTTTCTAAAATATCAGGAAAGGTGGTTAAATCAGAGAACCTCCCTCTGTTTCTCCGCTACCTTTGACTGAACATCAAAATGTCAAGGCTTCAGGTCAAGGCTCTGCTATGGCAGACACAACTGGTCAAATAGTATTTGCAAGTAAGTTTGGTTCATCCAGCAAAGAAAACCGGGCCGGTGGAGATTACTGGTCCGTGTACTTTCAGCCACTTTGTTTTATCGCTTCAAACCAAAAACGAAAAATGGACAAACAGAGCCATTTTTCCGTTGCTGTCAGAATTTAAAAAACGAAAATCACGAACATCAAATTAATTTGAAATATTTTCCATTACTTCCTTGTCACCTGACTAACTTTCTTCATTCCTCAATTCAAAAGAGAAAAAGGGAATTTGCAAACACCAGAATTTCTTCTAATTTGATGTTCTTGTTTTTCGTTTTGTAATTCTGACAACAAAAATGGAAAAATGGAGAAATGGCTCTGTTTTTCCATTTTTTCGTTTTTGATTTAAAACGAAAAAAACAATCTGCCTGAAAGTACACGGACCATTACTGCATCAGGACAGTTCGGATGGTGTCAGAGGTTTGATCACTGATGTTTTGACGAAATCCATCGCCAAAAGCTTCCGTGATCATTTACACATTCAGCAACTTTTCATACTGTCCTGCGTGGCAAACCCCAGCCCCAGCTGGTGCCCAGCCAGGCTAAAACAAACCCTAAAAAGTATAAATAAATACTGTTTGACCTGGATCTGATGGCAGTCAGACCTGCAGCAGCCTCATTTTATTGTTGCAGCGTCTACCATCTTTGTAGATAGTGAGACTCAGCCAGAGAGGTGCAGTGCTGGATCAGGATCAGCATAAAAAATAATGATTCGAATTTGCCAAAAAGACTACTGTGGAAATACTAATAATTTGGAGTTGAGAAAACATCTCATTTTGTATCAAGACGTCTCAGTTTGGGCCAAATATGCAGATGATTCATGGAAGTATCAAGGAATAGAACCTAAGAAACCCATCTGTGATGTCTATATTACTGTTTATTTCATAGAATTCTATGGTTATTTTAAGTTGTATTTCATGCTGTTTCACATCCAACACCACACCATCCAAAAGGCTTCAAGGAAAGTGGACTTTATATTTCTTTGTGTTTTGTTAGCGGCACAAACAGTTCGATGGCTGCATGTCTCAACCCTGCGCTAAAGAAAAAAAAAGAAAAAAAAAAAAAAGCTGAAGCAGAAGCTGATGCTGATTTTACAAATGAGACTTAAGAAGATACTGCTTCTACAAATGTCAACGACTCCCGCACTTCAAATGATCAACAGTTGGAACTATGCTTGTTGCTTAATATCATACGATAGATAGATAGATAGATAGATAGATAGATAGACAGATAGATAGATAGACAGATAGATAGATAGATAGATAGATAGATAGATAGATAGATAGATAGATAGATAGATAGATAGATAGATAGATAGATAGATAGATAGATATCAAACTGCCGTAGACTAATAAAAATGTTAAAAGGAAAAAGACAGACAGACAGAGCACATCCTTGTGTTTGTAATTAAAACGTCAGCACTCTGTATTCACCTCAGGTCTGGTTTGCGAGGCGGCCTCTCGCTGCAGCGGGGTCGTGAAACAAACAAAAAAAAAAAAAAACATAAAAAATCTTATCTTCATCAGTTTCGTTAAAATGACATTCAACTGAAAGAAACGAAGACCTGGCATGCAGAAGTAAAGCGCATTTCAAATACTTACTGTATGTCATGTTATTGCGACAATAAGACACTTATTGTGATATTATACAGCTGTAATGGTGACCGTTTTAGTTGTTTGGCACTTTCTGCAACAATTACAAAGTGCTGACGAAATAAAAAGACAAACATGTTGACGGTCAGGTATGATGAGATGCTCCACCCATCCATCCTTACATCCATCCGTCCGTCCATCCATCCATTTGCTATAATGCTTGTCCTTGAGGGTCACAGAGGGGCCAGAGCCAATCCCAGCTGACATTGGGCGAGAGGCGGTGTACACCCTGGACAGTTTATCACAGTGCTGATACAAACAACCGTTCACACTCACATTCATTTTAAAATACAAATGAAAGTAAACCAGATTTTCAGTCAGATAGATTCAGATAGGCTCATTGCCTTTTTTAAATTTTTTAATTTATTACGTCAGAATCACTTTTAATGGTAACGTTTAAATGTACAAAGATTCTTCAAGAATGTTTTGCAGCAGTTTATTGGTAGGTAAATGTAAAAAAAAAACACACATGAAGTATTCAGGGAACAGGCAATCTAAACAAATATGATGTACCAAATTAAATCAAAAATCCTGCTGGTGACTGCAATGTTCCTGACATTTTATACAGTATTTTAATGAGGCAAAGTTCTTGCAGTGTTTTATGTTAATGGTGATGCATTTCAAGTTTGTTTTATTTGTTAAATGAAAAAAGGTTCATGTAGAATTGACAATAGTTCGACTGTTGACCGATAGATTTGACATAGCAATTTGAATAGACATTCATGGTTCCCAGACTTTGGTGATCCCCTGACTTCTTTCAACTCTCGTGCCACCAAGAAGTTCACATCTGTACCTTTGAGTGAAACATTTCAACAACTGCTGGATGAGCTGCCGTGTGTATGTATCTGACAAGCAAAATACCTGTCAGATACTTTGATTTGTGACCAAATCCCAGCAAAAGCAATGACATTCCCATCAGCCCCAGCTGTCCTTTCTGTTAAGTTGTAATTATCAAATATTAGCATGATGACGTGGTAAACAAAGGTCCATCCATTAGCTATAACCACTTATCCTGGAGAATGGATTTTCAAAGTGAAAGTCAGAGAACATAAAAACAGCTGCGCTACTAAAATCAATGAATTCTTGCCATATGCATATCTGAGTTTAGCTAACCAAATGTTTCTAGTTATTTTTTCTCACGCTGCTCCTCCCCTGAGGTTGGAACCTCACACATTGGAAACCTCTGTCCTAGAGGGTCGGGGGATACGCCCCTGGACTGGTTGCCAGTCGGTCACTGGGCTTAAACAAAGACGATGAACATGGTAATCACTACACCTTCAAAATACAAGCATGTTAGCGCAAGCACAATTGTGTCAAAAGTAAAATC